GTATGGCATCATGAAGGGTGGTCAACACAGATCTCACTTCGGTGATGGCTGATAAGATCGTGTCTCCTCAGAATGCTTTCCTTGTCTTTCCTTGTCTTCTCCTCTCTCCGCCTCTCTCTCTCCGTTACACAGCAATCTACCCTAGCTCACAAGCTCGCAGTGGTTCGTCTTGCCAAGCTGGCAATCCTGACACTGATGATATCCCCTCGGCTTCCCCTTGGGTACGTAGCCTCACAGAAACCCATTGTGGTCACTCACTATCCCTCATCATGCAAAACACGATGCGACTCTGCTGTTCAGGCGAGGCGATGGCCTCCGACTTCTTGCTGTTGTGTTTCTGACCAGTGTTCGGGTGCCTGGCTCCCCCTTGCCTCGGCTTCTCTGCTCCTCTGCTCCTCCTTATGATGCGCATCCCCATCAACGGTGATGGTCGTGGACGTCCCGCCTTCACCTTCCAGCATCATCGCATCGCCACCAGAACAACCACACATGGTGAGCACCACCAATCACACTATCAGGAGATCTGCACGCTCAAGTCGCCCTCTGTACGTGTGCTGTTTCAGGGCTCTTCGGAGCTAGGATTCACATTCGCCTTGTTACTCGAGTGCCTACAAGCCTGTCCAACGCAATGGCATCAAGGACAGAGCGTCCAAGCGATACGACGCCAAGGGGAGGTGATCAAAGTGATGGCTGGGCGAGCTTCATGCTACCGAGGCGAAGTAGCATCCCAGCAGCAGACGCGGATCCAGCACCGAGACGAAGTGGTCTGAAATCGCGCGTCAGATCACCGACGACCCCGAAGGCGTGCCGCCCTTTTTCTCTTCCCGTCTTCCATCATGCTGACTGACATGGTTGGTACACCGACTCTCTCTGGCTGCAGTCGGACTGCCTCTATCCGACCGCACGTGTGGCTTGATTTGGCTGCCACTGTCATCTCCTGAGTGTGCTCACTCCCTCATGACACGTAAGCACATACACGCACATGCACAAACACGCACACATACACGAACACGAACACATACATGAACACGTATCCCTCTCCCGCAGATAGATGCGTGTTTTGAAAGGCGGCGCAGGGCGTCCATCGTCCATGTCCGTGCTTTCTCGCTCACAAGCACGTCATGCCGCTTCGGACCCCACGTCTTTCCCAACTACGCACTCTGCCTTTTCCCCTCCTTCTTCGCTGGCACGCCCGGTTGACCTCGGCCAACCCACCACGTCACCACAGAAGGATAATCACATTGCCACAGTGCTCAGTGAGTAGACGACGCATATACATACACATACACATACACATGCACAAGCAGCAAGACATGCACACGAGTGAGGATGGTCGAGTCGATCTTCTCGCCTTCTCCCATGCAATCATGTAATCATGCAATCATGCAGTCATGTAGTGATACACCCTCAGCAGCAACACAGGTACACACACACACACACACATGTAACACACCCCCACACACATTCATGCACATAGAAAAGTGGATGCTGTGCCTGCTGCTGTTGGTTATGTCATCTCTCAGGCAACATTTCGAGCGTGCTGGATGCACTAAGGGACAACCAATCTCCCTATCTGCCCATCGCCAGGTCAGTCAGGTCCACTTAAGCGTGCACGCACCCATGTGCCTCTGCCGGCTGGAATGGCTGTCTTCGTAACGAGCACCTGACAAGTCTGCCTCTTTTCTCCCAATGGTATGTCCAGTCGAGTCAGCCCAACAGCTGCGATGCTCAGGCCATTTGTTCTGCTTGTTTGTGAGGCAAGTCCATAGGTGGCCAGCTCGGCCATGACGTGACGTGCACTTTGCCATCGCTGTGGTCAATGATGACTTTTTCTCCACGGATTGCCTCGCCGCCAAGTAAGACGACATGTTTCGGGTCATCAATGACATAAAAATCGACAGCTATGGGGTCGGTTGTTGTGTCTGTCCTTTACGACCCCCCTTGACCGTCACGTCGCCGTGATGCGGCACACTTCGCTTGACGTCAGCAGGACCGATTGTCACCTCTCTGTCTCCTTCCTTTCGGAGTCTGTCGAGCATCCTGGCACTCATCAAACTCAGGTCAGCACCAGTATCAACCAACACATGCCCCCTCACACCATTCACTCTCATTCGTACGTATATCTGCCATCTGATTGCAGGCATGACGTCCCCATCTCTCCCGTGTGTTTCCGCTACGCAGCAATGCAGCCTCCTATTCGAGTCGTCATCAACATGATGCACACGTGCACCAGCCATCGGTGCGCCACCACACCAGCTTGTGCTGCTAGCCTCATTCTGACCATCCTTGTCTCTCTGTCCATTAGGTTTCGGCCCATGAAGAACCTCGCCACAGGAAGGCGTCCCCCCCTGCCGTTTCTTCCCTCTGTTGATCGGGTTCCGGACTGCCAGCGGCCCGACCAAA